GCAAATGTCTACTGACAGAGTCGCGAGTTTGCGCGCTACTCACATCTTTGGAAGGGAAGATGATGCCAAAAATCCCCAAACTCCCAATGCTGTTGCGCGGATAGAGAACCACATGAGCGCTACATGGGCAGGTCGAGTTATTCCATGGAGGCACTTCGGGTGTGTTGTTAGAATCTGTTGTTAGGATGTTGAGCTTTCGGGGGCGCGCAATTGCGCGGGCTCAACGCGCGCCGTTCGGAACGCACATTTGTGGGATACGACAGTTGTGAAGTTCCCGCGCACCTGCGCGGCCAATGACGACTTCGCAACTCACCACATCCAATGATTCAACGGCGGGGCGCCCAGGGCCTGTGAGACTTGCTTGGGAATGCAAGGCAACCTGCATATTGCTATCGCTGCCTGTTACTTTGCTTGGCATGCTGCCCACGGAGTATCTGAGCCGAGTGAGGCCAATAAAAGAAGATGGGCGACGATTTTGCTGGCGTGGAATACCTCTCAACCGCCGCATCTACCAGCTGTTCTTACATAGCACGCGGGCGTTTGCTTGCTGCAGTGAACGTATGTGATAGACTCGATTCGAATCTGCAAATGATGTAATTCAAGCACCTGTCTTCACGAACAGTTGCTACAGAAAAGTTCAAAATGCCACTTTCTGCCCCTCGTGAGATGGCTCAGACCATGGTCGATCCCCTCTCGTGGCATCTCATGTGGTGTAAGCGATGTGCCCTGTCCATCATTATTGCAGTGTCCAGAAAGCCTACGGAGGCGAAGCGTAAAAGCCCAACAGCCAATCGACCGGGGCCTTACCACCGAGTATCATCCTGTAGACCCTACTACTCGCTGGTTGTAAGAGAAAGTGGAAAATGTGTTCGTTACCTACATGGATAAGGCAACTACTCAGTCTACGTTAGTGGGAGTGGGAGGCAAAAAGGACCAGATGGTGGTGCGCGAACTTCAGTCGCAATAATCAGAATGTCGTTCGGTTGTAATGACATGCAAGCCCACTCCCGCCTGTTCGCCTCGCCAGCAAAGCAGGTCAATGGATCACAAAAGCTGCCCACCCCTTGTAGTTCAGGCACCTCATTGATGCTTTCTCATGCTCAACTCTTTACCTCTCGTTGAACACGGATATTCCTCATCGACCTCGCCTCAAAGCTGCAAGCGGTCTTGGTTGGCAGACAGCAGCGGGCACCAAGTACACGAATCCACTAGCTGACAGCGATGGATACCGCCTACAGCAGCCCCCATCCGCTCCCGACAACAGAACAACCTCTACCAATCGATATGGGATTCATGGACTTTGAGCCGAAGGCCAGGCGGGTGTTGGACCGGTCGCGATGCCCTGGCCTGCGGATGTTGGACACTTTGAACGAGAATAGCTACTCAGAAAGCGTAGCCAAGATGGCGGCGGGAGACAATGGGGGCTTCGACCAGGAAGAAGGCGAGCATGGTGACAGCGCATCCAGTCCCGAAGGTCCTACAACCAGCTTAACGACAACCCCTGATCACGAATTCTTCCCCGCGATACCGGCTGCGCTACAAGGTTGCAGCGCTGTGAAACATCTTCTGAAGAGCGACATCAACAAGGCGGACATTGAATCAAGTTCATTGGACTTTGCCCAGTTTTTGGACTTTGTGACGAGCACCAACACTATTTGCCAGCTCTATGACACACTTCTAGTGTGGCTGTATAACAGAAACCACTACTTTTTGGTTGTCCAACAGACCAAGCTTTCCATTGTCCACACCACTGTTGTCGTTCTTCTTGAGGTCAAATCGACGAGACTTCAGCCACCCCAGTGGTTGGCGGTGGTACTGGAAACTTACAACAACGGCCGCCCCGGTAGATGGATCGGCGAGATATCGATTGAATGGGTGGACACCTCCTGGCGCACCGCCCACAGCGTTCTACATGTCGGCGCAGTCTCCCCTGTGGCAACTCTGCCATGGTTGGATCCAGTCCGCCTTCAGGCATTGTGCGCAGCATTGAGACGCTTCAGAGCATCCTCTGGCTCTAACTCCATTCCTATTCGAGAACACACCGGTCAGAAGAACAGACCGCCGCCGAGCAACCCATCGAGAAAAGGCTCCGACAACGGCAAGAAGCCGAGGCAGCAACCCGGCGGCGGACCGGCAAAGCCACCCGGCGATTCGTCTGAAGAGCGGGACGGCACGAAGCCTGTCAGAAGACAGGCCAGGAACAAGATCCCAAACCCTCATGAGTTGCCCTGGGCTTGCCCATTGTACAAGTACGATCCTATCAGACACATGGGGTGTCTTTTCCACTCATTGACAGAGTCACGGCATGTCAAGAGGCATTTGCTGAGGCACCACAAGCGGCCTACTCACTGCCCAACGTGCTACGAGTGTTTCTCGAAAAAGACGGAGTGCGATGAGCATATTGTCAACAGAGTTTGCGGGTCGTGTTCCGAGCCTGAAGACTGGGACAGGTATATTTCGGAAGATGTTAGAGGCCAGATCGACAGCGTAGCGGGCGGTGACTGGTTCGCCATGTGGGATATCATCTACCCTAATGTTCCTCGACCACCGACGCCCTTCCTAGAATCTGCAGATCTGAGAATGGACGCCATGGCCGCCATCGGTAACGATAGAAGCGCTCCGTTCAGGCGAGAGTTGGAAATAAGCGGACTGAACGAGGTGCAGATACAGTCAGCCATGGAGGCCTATTCCAGAGCTTTTGCGTTGAGGTCACCGTCGACGAACTCCAACTCTTCTGACACTGCGGTCAACCAGCTGCCCGCGGGAGGGACCAGTCAGCAGCATGGATCCAATGTTGGAGGCCATTCCCAGGGTGCACCGCCGCAACCTCATCCATGGTCGGCGAACCCCATATCTCATCAACGCCACGACGAAACTAGTGCTACTATTGGAAGCAATTCCCAGTCTATGTTTACAGCGCAAATTTATGGGCAGCAGGCGGAGTGCTTTCCACCACAACAGGGCCAAAATGAAGTCATTAATTTCCAGGATATCCCGATGAATCAAGAAGCTCTGGAGATGCAAAGACGGCGCCAACTCTACCTCAATCAACAGCAGCGAGCTCAACAGCAGCAACGTGAGCGACAGCACGAGCAACAGCAGCAACGGGAGCAACAGTCACTTCAAAGGCAGCGACAGCAACTAGTGCAGCTGCAGCGACAGCAACATGAAGCCGAGCTGCACGCAAGGGCTGTGAACGCCGACGGCTTTCCGCCAACGAACCTACGGTTTCAGCAAGCTATCAATACCGTGGACCAGCAGCGCCGACAATTGCATCAGCGACAACGTGATAATTTGTGGCAGCGCACTTTTCGACTATCGGCTGGCCATCACCAGCAGAATGCTCCGCAGCATGATCATTCTCGCCACGGGGTGAGCGCGTCGGGCCAAGCTCTTCCTCATCATCTCCCGCAGCGGCAAAGGCAACAAACGACACAATTCCCAACCCAAGGGACGCGCATGCAACGCTATCCGTCTACTTCAGCATCTTCCACATTGAACCTTTCCCAGAGAACGCATTCTAATTCTAATAACCACCCAACGAACTTCAATAGTGGTGCCTCACAACAACGACAGTGGCCCCAGTGGGACGGTCAGGCAACTGGTAGCAATCAACAGCAACAATTCAACGACGACTTTTTGTCGATGCTGGACATACCAGCGGCCCCTCAAGCCAGTGGCTTCAATAGCACAACCAGACAGTCGGCAGGAGCCCATGGCTCAGCATATCCAACGGCGGCAAACGCAGGCAGCTCGTCTGCAATGATGCCTCAGCAAGTTATGATGCGCGACGATATGTTGCCCTTCATCAATCCAGCACTTCTAAACAACCACGCCATGTCGCCTGCTCAGCCCAACGGCTATGCAACACAGCCCCCGCCAACACCAGCGCCGACAGATCTTCCCTTCATCACTGGTCAGATGCATGATTTCCTAGATGATGTTGAGGACTTGATTTCATTGCATGATGTTGAAGAGTCTTACATGAAGATTGACCCGGTAGAAGATGAAGATGACGAAGAAGACAGCGATAATGATGACGACGATGAAGAAGTATCCGATGACGAAGAGTAACGGAGAGTCTTTTTTCCCTTTTTCGCTGTTTGCATATACCCAGAGTCATCCAAGATCGTAACCGACTCGTTTTGTTGATATCCCCATTTTTGTTTTTATAATCTTGTGGTCATCGTTTTCTTCGCCGTGTTCTCTCTCGGCTTCTTGCATAGGCGTTTAAGACAGGGTAGCATTGGATGGACAGGATGAATCAGGTGCATGAAATGGAGTTACGCCCTCTTCTAAAAGTCTTTCGGTTGGAAAAATGGCGTTCAGGAGTTGATGGAAGAGAGATCTCATCGACGCATGGACATCTGCCGGACCGAATGCATCGTACAATACCGTAAAATACCCAGAAATTTAACTCAATGAAGTCGTAAGACCGTGTTTTAATTACCTTTGATGTTGGCGGCACAACTGCAAAGAGTATCTCTCACCTACTGGTCCTCAACGGTCGGCCCCTCCCCCGCACTCTGAAGAATTAAATAAGACAGCTAAAACTCCCCTAGAGCGTGCAGGAAATATCCCGTCTTATCCCCGACAGCCCCTCCAAACACCAAGGAACCGTTAGTGTTTCGGCACCTCACATAAAGTCCGCGCCGAGGCGGGACGAGAGAGGGGCCCAAGGGTTCAGATCCCCAGAAGGGGGGCAAACACTGGACCCCGGGAGAACCATTGCACCAGAACCCGGCACGACGGGAGACGCGGGACACACGGATCACAGTTTAACCATTAGCCCATGCGTCTGCGTATGTTTGGTGTCCGGGTGTTCGACTACCGTTACTCTAATCTGCCGACGGGGTAATTGGTCCCTCCGAAGCTTGACCCTCTAACTACAACACCCTACTTGCCATACCGCGTCTTCCGTAAACATCGCGAAGACACCCTTCCTTCTCTCGTACAACGAAGCTATTCCCAGTGCACCTGACACCCGAAAAGCAGCAACAATGGTCTCAACCCGCTCCGCCTCCCGCGCCCTCTCCCAGGGCCCAACCACCCCTTCCCCTCCCCCTCCATCCCGACCAACAACGCGCGCCGCCGCCGCCCTCCCGCCCAAAGACAACACCTCCACCGCCGCCGGCTGGTGCCACGCCCCGACGCCCATAACCCTCTTCTGGCTGCTCGTCTCGCTGCCGCTGGTCGCCTGGGACACGGGTTACGTGCTGCTGCGGCCGTGGACGATGCCCGGCGGCCACCTCCACTGGCCGCTGTACGTGCCGTACGCGCTCTACGGCACCGTCGACCACATCTACGGCTGGAAGGCCTTCAACGCGCGCAACGGCTTCACGTCCGCGCAGGGCACGCTCAACCTCGTCGAGAGCGTCATGTACCTCGTCTACGTGTGGATCTACTTCGCGCGCGGGCGGGCGGTGCAGGGCCCCGCGGGGATCAAGAAGGTCGTCGGCGGGAGGGCGGGCGCGCTGGGGGTTGTTGTCGGTTTCAGCGCGGCGGTGATGACGCTGAGCAAGACTGTGCTGTACTGTGAGTGATGTTTTCTAGAAGAAATGTAAGGCGAGTGGGAATGGTGAGTGCTAACGACAGGGTAGGGGCGAACGAGTACTTCTCCGGCTTCGATAACATCGGCCACAACCCGCCCATGGACCTCCTTTTCCTCTGGATCATCCCCAAGTGAGTGAACCCCTCCAGGCGGCGTCACCCAGCCTCCATTGCATGGCAAAGAGGAAGATACACTAACACATCCGCGACAGCGGCGCATGGCTCCTCGGGTCGGGATACATGATCGTCTCCCTCGGCGGCGAGATCGTCGACGGACTGGCCCTCGCCTCGAAGATAACCAAGACGGAATAGAGTTTCGCAGCGCACACGACTACCACGTGCCAAGCACCGAATGAAGCGCCATGTAAATCATCATACGAGTACGACTCGACGGTCGAACAATAGGGAGGAGGCTGAGAAGCAGTCGAAACAATCGGAAAAGGAGGCGGGCGGGAACAATAACGGGGGTGACGGACAAAGAAGGAATGCAGTCCCGGCTACCAGGTTTCGGCGACGGGAGCTAAGAACAGGATAAAGAAATGGCTAAATGAGGCTGGGGTATTGACGGTTTGATACGGTACATATGGCGAAATGGGATATGGGCTTGCATGTGTGTTAAGGTTGTTTGTTTGGCTTCTTATCGGTGCAGTTGGGCGTCGGGCTGGGTAACGTGGTCGCGCTCCATCCACCAAGTCAGGCTGTAATCATGCAGCTTCAGGGAGTGTGGATGAACGGCATCAGGTTTGTAGTCAGCACTAGACATCCTAGCAAATGGGAATATGGCCGTCATAGTCTGGACACTGATTTGACAGAATCACTAAACATGTGGAGGGCGGGAATCTGGTCGCGACGCGACAGGTCGGTTAACATCACAAGTGATGGCGGCAATCAAGCATTGGCAGAGAGAATCATTTTCTGTGTGATTTCCACCCCTTCTAGTAATACATGACATGTCGCGCGACATGATGCAGGTGAAGCCGATCTCGACTAAACGCCTAGAGATGATAATGGTACATAGAACACCGTTTGAAGGAGGGTGCGATGGGTATCTCTCATCAAGTCCATGATAATACGTACAAAGAAAATCGAACGCTGTGTTCGTTCCCAGCATTCCCGACATAATAGAAATCTAAATTTGAAAAGAGAAAAATTGACTGAGTAAGTCCCGCATTAGATTTTCAGCGGCGACAGGCTGGTAAGCCCGCCAAGATCTTTGTACTGCTCCCATTCGGGCTTGACATCAGCATCCTCAACCATAGCCTCGAGGCTCAGCGGTGCCGATGTCTTGCGAATCTGCAGCGGTAGGGGCTCCAGCTCGTGGCGGTGGAACTCTGCCTCCTGCTCCTTGATAAGCTCCTCATAGTCGTGGGCGTAACTGCCTGCCCCAATGACGCTGTGGCGTCTGGTATTGGACCATTCCGAAGAGCTGGCGCGCGGGGTCCCGACAAAGGAGAGGACGTCCCTGACACGCCGGCGCCCACGGAGGGGAATGGGGCTCAACATTGGAGACTCTTGGTTGGGCCAGGCCTTATCCGGCGCGTCGGGGGAGGTCGGCGGTGCCGTTGAGTCAACAGTAGCGTAGCTGATGCCGCCGGCCGATGCCTCTGATATGGCGCTGGACTCTGAAGAGGTTGAGAATGAGCGAGGCGCCACGGTGCAGGGAGACAGCTCGGGCGGCTCGATGGGGCGGTTGGTAAGCTTCGTCACGGCATTAGTGCCGTTACCGTAACCGTGAACCACGATCTCGCAGTAGGATGCTTTCCGAGGGGTTGGTGTAGCTTCGTCTTCGTGCTTGCGAAAAATACTGAGTGTTCTCCGGAAGGGGCTGTTGCGGGACAAGCTGCGGCTGCGTGATCTGGGCGGTACGGCCGGGGCGCCACCCATGGTTTGCCTCCGGGCGAGGAGTTCTTCGCGGCGTGACTGGGCGGTGTAGTCAATATCCGGTTGGATGACAATGCTCGGTGAGACCAGAGCAGGGGAGATCGGGTTCTCTGAGCTCCATTGAGAGACAGACTGAGAACGCTGCATATTAGGAATGAAGTTCATCGGGGTCTGGAGAAGCGGCTTTAGGCCGCCGCGTCCATTCTTCCAAGGGGGCAGTTGTTCGGTGGAGACAGCCAGATGGTAGTCGGCGTCGGCTGAGTCGCGAACCTCGAGGGGAGGCGATGTGCAGTTGCGAAGGACCTGGTAAACGGCGTAGATCAAGATCCATCGCACCTTGCGTGCGTCGACAGGGTTGATCTTTTCTGCCTTGTCGGTTTTGGTGTGTGGCATGACAGAGTCTTCCTCGAACTTGCGATAGGCTCGAACAAAGTCGTTCTCAAGCAGTTCCGAGTCGCGAACGTTCATCGCCTTGATCAAGGCGGCGTGTGCAAGGAGGCGATGGTCGGGCTTGAGCTTGTCTCCGCGGGCGGTGTTAGCCAGCCATGCGAGAGACATGCGGCGCGAAGCCTTGTCATCGTCGATCTCGGGCAATAGTGGTAGAGGGTGCTTGAGAGAAGGATAGTCGCATCTCTCGTCGAACGATTGCACGCTTTGCACAGCGCAAATTCCGCCCTGGGCAAGCAGGGGACTGCTATCGTCTGAGGTGAAGCTCTCGTCCACAAGCAAGTCGTACACTGCCCGGAAGTCCTTTCGTAGAATTTCGAAAATCTCCGGGTCGAATATCGTGCTTCGCGAATCGAGTGAGAGCGGCGGGAAATAGCCGAGACGTGTCTGGTAGAATGAGAGTACGAAGGAACGGAATCGGTCCAGGTGTGCCCGGCCTCCGGCTGGCAGGCCGAGGTTTGCTTCGGAGAGTTCGTCCTCGAGGAATGATTTCAACATGCTACCAGCCAGACTCAGCCGGCTGTTCATGTCTGCGCGGGCTCGGCGAATGAGAGTACGGGAAATAGAGCTGATGTGCTGCGGAATGTTAGTTAAACTTCGCTTGAGATACAACGGATTCCAACGCGCATACCTGGTATTCCGGGCTGCAGAAGAGCTCCTCGCTCATTCCAACACAATGGCTGAAGGCGTCAATGTACATGTCCCGCACCTGGAAGAATTCCGCCAGATGCAAGACTGCCAAAGCGTGGTGCGCATGGCCCTTTAAATCCAGGTAGCCCTCCTCATCCAAATAAGAGTGAAGATCCATCATGTGGTCTTCGCCGCTGCTCCTGAATTCTGCCATGCTGTTCATGAGTCCGATGAGGGCGCTTCCCAGATGTTCTCCGACAACCGACCGCCTGAAGATCCACGCAAAGAAATTACGCGTTGCCAAATGGTAAGCAAATGCCTGTTCCTTGTCGGCCATGGGGGGAGCCGGGATGTAAAGCTCGATTCTCTCGTGAGGATTCAGGGCGTTCCACCTGTCAAGGTCCTCGTACGGGTCGTGAAATGATCCTGGAGATTCAGGCATGTCGCGGGACATGAATTTCCTGACGAACGGATGACATTTTGCCGAAAGCAAGGCACCGAACGGCACCTTGAATGCTGGTCCTCTTCTAGACTGTCCCTTGCCATACAAATGCACAAAACAGTTACCACCACGGAACCATAATTCCGGATCCTGAGCGCGGATGTTAGCAAGTTGAGAGAACAAAAGTCACAGCTGACGATACCAGCCGCGGAAATGCAAACTTACCCTCCTCAGGTTATCCCAGTCACTGCATGACCTCGCAGCTCCATCCCACCTCTTCACCTTTGCAATCTGAGCTGCCCTTCCATCCATCATAGGCACTCCAAGCTTCTTCGACTTCCATGCTTGAGATGATGTCGACATCGTGGGACTTGGCGGGGGGAGCGACAAACGGGGACGGGGTTCACGACGAACGGTCTTGGTGGAAGCGGCATCTTGAGACAGCGGGGTGGGAATGTGTCGCTGATATGTACGATCCTTGGGTGCCGCTTTGGATGACCCCTTGGACGGCTCTTTCCTCCACGAGCCAAATGGCAAGCCCGCTGGATGCGGCCACAGCCTCATGGCTGAAGAGCTGATGGCACTGGAAGGCGCCGATGACTGCAGAGTGTGTTCCGGACCGCCGATAGACCTCCAATAATTCCGTCAGTACCCCTGGCAGATCTGCGTTTGTCGATGAGGGGTGGATGGGGGAACTGAGCCGACTAGCGCGTGACCAGTACGCCCGTATGAGGGAACAATGACTTTGGATCGTCACTGCATTCCACAACCTCAACGAAAACAGCAGACCCAGGTGTGCAAGAAGTTGTGGTTGGGTGGGAAAAACCAACGCCGCAAACCTTGCCAAACGTCTTCGGGCGGGCGTCGTGATGGCTTTATGTCACTTGTCCCAGATCAGAACAAACTGACCCGACTTTCGGGGACTGGTCTGAACCAGCGCCGTGGTGGGACTAGTAGACGTCCTCACGGTCCGAGCAGTTTTCGAGTGACGCGGCGGGAACAACAAGGATATGGCTTCACGCCATGTCTTAGGCCGGGCCGCCACTAGGTAGGATGGACGAACCCCTCACTCACAGCCCTGTCCTGGCCTGCATGGGGAGAGAAGGCGACCATGCGGATGTGCCTGTCATCCACAGCAGTATTGGATGCGCTGTCAAGCTCTGATTATGCGAGTGCGTGCGTGTAATCGACCTGCCTGTGCCTGGCACATGATGCAGCAGTAGTAGGCGTCAGCTTCGCTGCGCCGCAGTAGGTTCCCCGTCTGTGAGCAGAGCTTCGCAGCAAAACCCTCTCCGAATACTTCAGTCCTAACTTTGCAACTTCAACGGCGACAGAACATGTCTGAAAGTCTCAAACACTCTCTGCGTCTCCACAAACGCTGTTGTGACGCGGTCCAAGACGACGACGTTGGAATGATCGACAGGATGGGGCACCTGTAGTTCCCTCGATGACAAGAGCACTTCTGCACCGTAGGCCTGCCTTCTGGGGCCGTCTGTGGTGGTGATGCAAAGCGTCCCTGTTGGCTCCCCTCACCCACCCTTCGGAGGGTTGACATGGGGGATCGCCGTCCTCGATGCATCTTTCGGCGTAAGCTTGCATGCACCTCTGAGCCTCCTGATTGGCCACCACGGCGAGCAGCTCTCTCCATGGGAGCAGTGTCTCATTAAGAGTTGGCGCCCAGCACCGGGAGCTTGAGTTCCATTTGCCATCTCTTGTAGTAATGTCGGAATTGGATCATGCTGCTGATTCATCAGTCATTGGTGCAGGATGTGGTGTAATCATAGCAAAATCCCAACGGCCCTGATCGCATGCAGCCAGCAGAGCTCAAAGTTGACCGTCTTCATCTTGTTCAGGCCTCATCCTGATTCTAGGCCTTCGGTTCACAGGCCTGCTGACTGACAACTCAGAGGGCCAAGCGACGTCATTAGCAAATGGCGCCAGGCATCCTCACGACGGCAACTGCCAGACGGTATTTCCTGGAAGCTGTTTTTTGATAGTGCTCCGATTCGCCCGCCCTCTTTGTCGGAAAAGTAACCGAAGAGTCTCGGACACTCATTGCAGGCTCATTGCAGACTCTCAAAGGAGCGCCCTAGGTAGAGAGACATGCTCCCGCTGTTGTGCACCCTCGTCAAATAGTACTAGGATGATCCAGGGCCGGAATCCAGTGCAATGGAACCGCGAGTGCGCATTTCGATCCCTCGCTCTATGCCGTCGGCCGACCTGAACACCTTGTCTGCTGGTCAGGGCCAGCCAGTGGACAGTTGCATTGCCGTGCTCGCGACATCAGACGATTCGAGACCAGAAATCCCCGACTTCGCTTCGCCGGATTTCCTCTTTGGTCGCCACCTCGTCGGCGGCACATCTTGACAAAGCTATGGCCTGCGAGTGTTCGGGAGGCCAAAACGCTGGGCTGGTCGATGTTGCGATGGACACGACCTTCTGGAGCGAAATGCACAATCAACGCCCAGACGGACTGTGTTGTGAGTGGAACGACGGACCGGCACAGAAAATGCAGGCACTCTGGTGCTTTGCTTCTTCTGCCTGCGCGGCGGGACGCACACCGTGCAGAGTGCTGCCATCCCTTGCAGCCGGGCTACAGTCATGCTCGACGAGCTGAGAGGCACAAAGGAGCTCCGGAGACGGATCCCATCAACCTTGGCCGCCGTCGAGTGCCGGACCGGGGCAGAGACACGCTTCCCAGAACATGGGTAATTCAGCTCTCGCTCGCTTCGGGAGGCTTGCGCGACCTAGACCGCCGCTACTGAGAGGGGTCTGGACCACCAGCCGCTAGCGCGGCGCTGTTGCTGCAACGAAAACGTCGAAGCTGAAGGAGAATTTCCAGCCAGGTGGAACCCATTGAACGGCAAAAGGAAGCCTTAGACGAGACTTGGACGAGATAAGGTACAAGAGGCAAGCTTGGCCGGGGGCGTGGCGGCCGGCAGAGCGAAGAAGGTTGAGCATTTGGAAGGCGGACTCGAGTCTCGTTGTCCTCGGTGCTGGTGGCCATTCACCTCATCCCCGGCGACACCGAGACGTTCGATCTGATCGAGATGGATTCGAACTTGTAGATCCGCCTGAAGGAGTCAAGTCTCTCGTGGGAGACCAAATGAAAAGGCGATGGGTGGCACCTGTGACGGCTGATTCGGGGCATCCTTGGCGAAGCGGCCGGCGATGTAGTGACAAGAGACGGTCGGTAATCTTGAGGGTTTGACACCACGCCCACGCGAGAAGCGAGTGTCCGTTCGTACGACCATCGTCTCCAATGGAATGGGCAAAGTGTTCGAGCGGTAGCGCGTGTCAACAGGCGATGGATGAAGGGCTAAGGTGGCCATCGACATCCCAGGTCAATGAGTAGTCAGTGGAAGGCCGTGAAAGTTCGTGTAAGTCGTTCGTCCGGCCGAAATGGAGGGTACGAGAGTTCAAGCTCCACTGCGAACCGTTCACCCCGCTTATCTAATCGTCTCGTCTTATCTTCTTTATCGAGATAACGAGATAACGATCGGGCCGGGATCAAGGTAAGCCCTTCGTCATCTTTTGCCAGGTGCAAGAGGAGCGCGGCACCTGGCAAGAGCTGCCCACCAAAATTGAGGTGGGATTGATTCGGCGCCGTGTTGAATCAATCGGACGGCATCGCTTTCGCGTCCAGGATAGCAGCTCTGTGCAGAATCTCAAACGCCTCTCGACCAGCACAAGTCAGTCGGCCCCGAACCACATCTCCAGCTCCCGGAATCGACTCCGCCAACCACTATGTCGGAGCAATAATGGCGCCCTTAACCCCATACACCTACATCCGGTGCCCCTGTTCCGAGACGCGGGCAAGCGAAGACGGCTCCTCGACGCCCGGCAGCCCAGAGGACGATGAGCGCACCTTCGACCCCCGCGCCCCGCGCGCCAACTTCGGCATCTTTCCCCTGGAGCACTTGATGTACTGCGAGGACTGCCACCAGATCAGGTGTCCTCGCTGCGTCAACGAGGAGATTGTCACCTACTACTGTCCCAACTGCCTGTTTGAGGTGCCTAGCAGTAACCTAAAAAGCGAGGGCAACAGGTGAGCGCGTCAGTGCTGCGACACCGCTTGGGACGATCTTGCTGATAGTTTCCCCGCAGGTGCACTCGAAGCTGTTTCCAATGTCCCGTCTGCATCGGTCCCCTCGCGGTTACGAGTCTCGAGGAGCGGTCCGAAGCCAGCAGTCTCCTCACCGCCGACGCCTCTGCCCCGCAGGGTGGCCCATACGTCCTAAACTGCTCATACTGCAACTGGAGCTCGACCGAGATTGGCATCAAGTTTGACAGGCCCAATGGCATCCACGGGCAACTGGCGAAGCTGCAGAACGGCGGCAAGCCCAAGTTGACGCCCAAGGAGCACAAGGAGAGGAAGAAGGAGAGCGGGGCAGACTACTCGCTGGATGCAAAGGACATGGACACGGAGCTGCAGTTTGCGCAACTCAAGTCGTTTTACCAGAACCAACTTGCAAACTCCAACCCTTCTGCAGGCGGGCTTTCTTCTCTCGGGGACCTTGGGCTCTCCTCTCCCGGATCTCTGTCGCGTATCATGAGTCTGTACACGGGAAACAACTATGGCCACAAACAGGCGCGGGGCAAGGTGCAGATCATGCGTGAAGCAGTCAGCACAGACGAGGGGCTGAAGGAGACGGACCTGGACGAGTCGGCGGCTATTGAAAAGCTTCGCCAAACCGTCCTCGACGACACAGCTACCATTGCCCAGAACGCCCACCAGCAGGACTCTGTGCGCTTTAGAGACGAGCTGAGGCCCATCCCCAACCTGCTGAGAACCAAGCGGTCGAAGCGATGCCCCATCTGCAGGCACATCATCAGCAAGCCGGAAGCGAAAATCTCCAACACCCGCTTCCGCATTCGCCTCGTCGCGGGCAGCTACATCCCGACCATCACAATCCGGCCGCTCGCCTCGGAGTCACAGAATATCCCCTCCACGGCCCGGCCGCCGATACCCCAGGAGCTCTGGCTCGCCCCGCTGAAGCCGGTGCAGTACCTCTTGACCTTCAAGAACCCCATCTTCGAGACGGTCAAGGTATCCTTGGCCACGCCCTCCAGCACGCCGGGCCGGTTCGCGAGCACCGTGACGGTGTTCTGTCCTCAGTTTGAGATTGATGCCAACACGGACATGTGGGACGACGCACTCAAGGATGACACCGAAAAGGAGCGCCGGAGAGGCGAGGAGGGCGCGCTGCAGCAGGCCGAGGTCGGCAAGATTTACGACCGCGGCCGCAACTGGGTCAGCATCGTGCTGGAAGTCGTCCCGGCTTCGCTCAGGCTAGAATCCAGCGGCAAGGCTGCTGAGGATGCGCTCCTTGGGGACGAGGATGTGTTGGAGATACCCATGTTTGTGCGCCTCGAGTGGGAAACGGAAGGTCAGGGGGATGTTGGCACGGCGCAGGGTAAGGACAAGGAGGCTAGAGAAAAGAGGGAGCTAGCATACTGGTGCGTCTTGGGAGTTGGACGCATCAGCCAGGAGTAGATGTCTAATGAATGATACCCCAACTTTGACCTTACACTCCATGAGCTAGCGGTATAGTTGCCGATGAGATATACAATGTTACGTCACTTCATGGTCACTGGCAAGAGGAACAGTACGGAAGGGAGCGGTCAAGTGTGTGGTATATGCATTTTTGGGGGCGGTCATTGAGTGAATCCGCCAAGCTACATCCTTTAGACGCCAGACCCTTTTGACCAACCAGTCATTGCCATGCTCTTCATTGCAGCAGACCTTAAAATGCCAAATGCCCCATCCATCATTGACCGACCCAAATAAACACTTTTGAAGGGAGTTCTCCCCTAAGAAACCCAGCCATCTTTACGAGGACGAGTAGCTTAGAAGTCAGAGGCACCGCTCTGGGGGAACTCGAAGGTGACGCCGCGGCCGGTGAGCTTGCGGTAGACCTCGGAGTAGGTGTCGAGGCGGTAGTCGACGCCGCCGCGCTCCTTCTCGTCGAGGATGACCTTGAGGACCTTGGAGCCGTCCTCCTTGGTGCGGAGGCGCTTGCCGACGATCTCGACGGGGTAGACGAGGTCGGTGAGGATGGCGTCGTGGACGGCGGTGAGGGTGCGGGAGCGGGGGCGCTTCTGGGTCTGGGTGTTGCGGGAGCGGGCAGAGCGCTTGGGGCGGGGGAGGATGCGGCGGGAGGCCAGGATCAGGACGTGGCGGTCGGAGAACTTCTTCTCGAGCTCACGGGTGAGGCTGAGGGGTATTAGCATCGCGAGTTTGGGAAGAGTAGAGTGGTGAAGTGGAACTTACCGCTGCTGGACGCGGTGGAAGCCCTGCAGGGAAGGAACGGGGACAAAGATGGCGACAGCCTTCTTGCCGTGGCCGACCTCGATCTATTACCAAAGATCACAAGTCAGCATGCGAGCTCCAGGACGAATGCCTTGGACCGCTTCCCGTCCTGTTCCTGAGATTATGAGTCTTTTCAGCGTTCAAATCTTTTGCCGCCACGGCTGCAGCAATTTCAGCGCAGAGTTCGACCAGACCCGAGATGTTCAACCGTCGCAGGAAATATTCTCGCTCCAATTCCTTCCATGTTCTCCTCGATGTCTCTCAATCGGTGGAACTGGGGGAACGACGGTGCGCGAGTAACATATCCATGGGTTCTCTCTCGTCGGTCGACTGGCTGGCTGGGCATTCCGTGGCGGCAGGAACAGGATTGTCGATTTCGAGATTTCTGTGCGAGTCCTTTCTGGCGGATTCTTCAGGTATTTCTCACCTCGCGGGCAGAGACGAACTGCAGAGGGCGGAGGGCGACCTTGAGGTCGGCGGTGTTGCTCTCGAGGTCGTACAGAGCCTGGGCGATGCTCTGCTCGAGCTCGGAGGGGTTGGCCCGCGAGGGGCTGTTGGGGGCGATCTTGTTCAACGCGGCGCTCATTTTGGCGGTTGGTTGGGGCTGGTTGGACGTGGTGGTCGGGTTAGTTGACGGGATTGCTCGAGCGGGACAGAGGTCGAAATGGGAAAAAGAATCTCGAGATGTCCAAAATGTTCGCTACCACACCGAACGAGCGCTGCCGGCGGCGATTGGGGTTTGGAAGCCCTGTGGTGCTGGTCAGTGCGTTTTTCCCTCGCCTAATTTTTGGGTTCAGTGCAGCCAATGGCGTGGTCCTTATGGCACCGCTCTCTGCCTTCACCACCTTTCCGTTTCGGGATGGGATCCACCATCAGAGCTCCTCCAGCTGTCAGAGAACAACATGAAAACCGTTGATGAAGTGCTCCCATCCTTCTTGAGATTTGTGTTGGCCATGTCGGATAACCATATTCGAGTTTGGTCTATTTTACATTCTTGAATTTTCGCCAGTGGCTGCGATGCTTAGATTAGAGGTTACCTGGTCAATGTTCTCATTGACCTCGCTTGGCTCATCACCATCTCTTTGCCTTGAAGCCAACTCGCATCAAGTGATGCCCAGTTCATGCGCTCAAGTCTGGTTCAAATCAACATCATCAATCATATGGTGTATGTCACTGCTATTTTACCAAGTCTTCTATATATGCGGCATGGCTCACACCCTGAGCTTTTGATTTGGATATTCTATTTGAATTAGATCCATTAATACCCGGAACTTGCCCGTTTCGTCTACCATCTTAATAAACACGCAATACCTCCCTTTTAAACGAGCGTAATGTTGTTACAAGCCGTTACTCATACCAAGTGACCCAGGAATCTGGCCCACCCCTCACATCATATCGCTGCGTGCCTCATTATTCCGCTCCTGTCTGTTCAACTCATCGCGGAAGGCATTACCGGTGCTCGGCGGAGGCGGCCTCGGTGGCGGCATCATCTCCACCCCGCCGCGGTTCGCCGACGTGAAAGTGCCATCCGCAAGCCTCAACCCGTCCGTCCTCTGCCCGCGGCTCTTCCCAATACCGTACCCCTGGCTGCGCGACGCGAACATGCCCTTCCGCCTGCCATACCACCACACGAACCAGCCAATCCCGCAGAGCGACAGCACGCCGAACACGATGGGCAGCACAATCCCCAGCACGTTGACCTTGCGGCGCACCGGGTCGTTAATTGAGGTCCGGTTGTTGCTGATGACGCGCACCTTGGGCCCCGCGTTGCGCGCGACGATGCTGCCGTTGGCCGCCGGGATCGCCAGGAACAGCTGCACGTCCATCGCCTCGCCGGCGGGCATGTCGTAGCCCAGCACGGCCCACTCGAAGAAGCCCGCCGCCGCCGGGATCTCGAGCGAAGAGAAGCCGTGCCCGGGCTCCTTGATGGTGCTCGTCACGCCGTAGTCGCCCTGGACCTGGACGACGGTGTTGGTGGAGGGGAAGAGGGAGGCGTCCCAGGTGACTGGTACACGATTAGCGGCCGTCCCACGAGTTGCAGTCGATGCATAGGGGGACAGGGCTGCTGCTGCTGGAGCTGGTGTTGGAGCTGCAGCTGTTGTTGCTCACCAAAGTACGTCTTGCCGCCCTCCACCTGATTGTCCTCGGCCGGCGCGCAGAACGGCTGCGCGAGGCCTCCTGAGCCGGCGGCGGAGTTGCAGAGGACGAAGGCGCCGCCGCCCTGTGCCTCGGCGGTCGGGAGGGCGGTGTTCCCCGGGAACACGGAGGTGGTCTTGCCGTCGTTGACGGTGGGTGTGATGGTCTTGGTGGCGCCATCGGCTTCGACGGTGACCCAGGCGCGCGGGGCCTCGCTGCTCTGCCGGGGGAAGATGGCTGCTTGGGTGAGGGCTAGGGAGGCGGCCAGGAGGGCCAGGCCTCCTCGTGATGGTGCACCCCAGGTGACCATGGTTGACCGAAGCAAAGACGAAAAGATAAAAAGATTAGATATGAATAATGAGACGGTATTTACTGCCAGCTAGTGGCAACCCGGGACGAAACGAAGAAGAGGAAAACGAAAAGAGGTTCACAAAAGGGACTCCCGAGCTTTCTACGTGGGGGGGACAAGGAAATGGGTGCTGTTAAGTATCAGGAAATCAGCACTGGGCATGCAAAATTGGACGAACTGAAGGCTTAACCTGCGTGACTTGCTGCTCACGGGACACCTTAATCTTGCCTTCTTGAAACTCTCACGTGTTGCCTCCTACGTTGAAGCACCAGACGACGCAGCTGGTTGCGATTCATGATGTTCCAAGTTGTCCTGACTGCAGATGTCTTCTTTACCCCGCGTTTCTTGAATAGACTAACGGCTATCAATCCATCAACCTAGTGCTGCTATTTCGATTTTGACAGCTACTAGCAAGCAGCTAGCAATGAAGGATTCTCTCCATCGAGATCAAAAAGGCTCCAAGGCAAAGTAGCTTTCTCTCTGCTAGACCAAAGAGACGAACCGTCCATGGTTCTGCTCTGTCAGCCGAACAAAAGCAAAGCTAGAACACGCGGGGGCCGCTCACTGACACGCAGGGGTTTCCCCTCTCCGGTTTCACCCAGTTTGGCATGTTTCCTTCGGAAGAAAAGGCATCAGACTAGTGAGCGCAGAGTGGCCTTACTGCCTGAACTGGTGTGCGGATGTGTCTCTGTTGAATGACAAGAGGAATTCGGGGACCGTTGGGGTCCAAGCTAAGGTCGTCTGCAAGTCGATGCGACTTGTCGAGGAGGAGGATGGGGGCACTGTGCCGATGGGGGTCATGGCGGAATTTCGCTGGGACCTCTTCTCCCAAGGTCGAGCTCGCGTCCCCGGGAACCCCGTTGAGTTCAAGGGACGTAGGAGCATCAGCTGCAAGGTTCGGCACTTTGATGAGACACTCTTATGTGAGCGAATCCATGGTACAGATGAGAGGTACTAAGAGTCAAAGGGCGGGGGTCAAGACGGGACTGGACGGAAGAGAGGGGGGCAAGACAGACGAGATAGCTAGCCGGGGGTGCTTGGTCCAGTGACGCCGGGGCTCCGAGAATATGTGGAGCCTGAGCCGGCCTTCCACGGCGCAAGAACGGCGCGGTGACCGGTTCGGAGGCGCGACACAGTGCAGGAAGAAAAAGGAACAGGGGGGCAGGCCGGGGCTGGATGTTGAGAGAAGAGCATGGAGACGAATCAACGGATTTCGAATTGACTCAACCCCCAGATTCAGCAAGGCTCCGGTGCAACGTGCCTCCATTTTTTCCTGCCATCCATCCATCCATGAAATTCTGCACATGTCAAATCACCCCTCGGGTATCTGTCGGTGAGATGACGCCTAACCCAGGCTGGAAATCAGTATGTGCCGTCTTGGCCAAGATCGTCGGCAGCGAGATGCAGTCGCAGGGCCGCGTTTCCGTAAGCTGTCAGCCAAGAAATTGGCCGCGCACATTGAAACGGGGGGCCGGCGGCGCTATTGAAACTTTTATGGCTTTTTTTTTCATGGCTTGAGAGGGCTTCGTGGGCTTTCCAGAGTTGCAGACGGGTACCGGCGGGGTTCATCGCTGTCCTGCTTGGCCGTTTGGGCTGTGAGCGCTTTTAAGCCGTTGTTGACTCATGCCTGTACCTTGCTGCTTTTCTGAGATCCATTCCAGATCGATCATTCTTTTTTTGTGAGCGAGATATTATATGCGATGTGTATAATTAGCCGCCCAGGTTTCTTCAAACAGATGAAGCTTTGTTCGTCTGTTTCGCCAAGCTCCCGTTTGCCGCACCTAGTCTCCGTTTCTAGCTCCATTATCTTCCCTCGAACCCTTCCCGTGATAATTTAGTTAGTGACACTGACTGCGAATCTGCACTGTCCCAACCTCATCATTTCCCCCCAAGTCAATTCAACACTCCGTACCTGATCGCCCAACCTCCCATCTCCCCCGCCGGAGCGCCGGACTATCGACAGAACAAAAAAGGAGCGCCGCACCGTTTACGCACCGTCTTGGCACCGTTCTGCGCAGTGACGTCTCTAGCGCGATCGTCGGACCTTCCCAACAAATCTTCCGAAGACGAAGACGAAGCAGCAACGGCAGCCCGCAGCCAAGAAGCAATTGGAAAGGAAAGGCGTGCTTGCTGCGACATTTCTTCAATCTTGGCTTCTCTGGCTCCTCCTCCTTTACGGTCAGATCCAGATCCAGCAGCCAATCGCGCCAAACCTCCGGACCTGTAGCCGCCTCGCCTGTAGCTCCTCCTCCCGAATCACCTCCGCTTCCTCCGTCCTCCCGTCATCCTTCTTCCCTTTCCTCTCCCTTCTTATTTCCTCCCTCCTCCCCCCTTGCTTCTGCCTCTTCCCTTTCCTCTAATGTTTAAATCCAGCCCCGTCCCGCGCTCTCTTCTATCCTCTGCGCGACTCGGCCGTCGTCTCCCCCCAAGACTCTTCCCCAACATCGCCGCCCTCAGACCTCATCACCTCCAGCAGCAGCACGCCAGCTTCTCCAAGGTCACCAAGCCCATCCCTGAGCAGCCCGACTTCGACAAGATGGCCGAAAACGACATTGAAAAGTACCTAAAGCAGACGCACGACCGCGTCTTTGAGCACAACAAGGCCTGGGCCGAGCAGAAGAAGAAGGAAGACCCCAACTTCTTCGTCACCCTCTCCGCCGGCCAGACTCCCGAGTACCTCTGGATCGGATGCAGCGACTCGCGCATCCCTGCCGAGCAGATCACCGGCCTCGGCCCGGGTGAGGCCTTCGTCCACCGCAACATCGCCAACCTCGTCAACAACATCGACCTCAACGTCATGAGCGTCATCAACTACGCCGTCCGCCACCTGCAGGTCAAGCACATTGTCGTCTGCGGCCACTACGGCTGCGGCGGCGTCAAGGCCGCCATGACCCCCAAGGATCTGGGCCTCCTCAACCCCTGGCTTAGGAACATCCGCGACGTCTACCGCTTCCACGAGGCCGAGCTGGACGCCATCAAGGACGAGGAGGCCCGCTACGACCGCCTGGTCGAGCTCAACGTTATCGAGCAGTGCCGCAACGTCATCAAGACTGCTGCCATCCAGCAGTCCTACGCCAAGAACAAGTTCCCCATCGTCCACG